CTGGGCTGGGATTGGGCTTCTTCATTCCCAAATGGGACTCTGACACTGGTGGGTCAAACACTTTGTGCACGCAATGCTTGTGGGAACCCTGCCTCCTGCCAGCCATGTCCTCATGCCACCAGGTGCTCCAGATCAAGGGGGGCTGCCCAGCACCCCACATTTCACTGCACCCCCAGAGCAGCACCCCAGCCTTGGCCGACCTTTGGGAGCAAACACCACCCATCTCCTCCCTGGGTCGACACCGAAACCAGGTCGGGGGCTTCGTGTCCCTGCCAGCTCCGAGGCAAACATCTAAGCAGCAGAGATCAGCGAGGGAGAGGAATCCCACTCCCTGTGCCTCTCTAATCCTGGAATAATGCATCCCGTGAAGTGCAGGCTGGATCCGGTCCAGCAGTCACGGAAGGCAGTGACAGACCTCCCACTGCTTTCAATGGGAGCAGAGCGAGCTGGGGTTTAATCAGCGTGGTACCAGCAGCAATAGCTCGTCAGCCCCAGCGCTCCTGAATACATTAGAACGTGTTGCTTATGCCCATAGGTCACATTTCATCTCAAATCACACCAATTTCACAACACACGCACTAATTCCATGTGATAATCATCAGCAACCGCTTCCATTGGGGACAAAGCATTGCCCTGCTGTGCCCCGATCGATGGCTGGAGTCAAAGCCTGCCAGCAGGTCCCATGGCAGTGGGAGGAGGGCGCTGGGAAAGGCCCCCAACATGGCCATAACCTTGTTAATGATTCGGCATCCAGAATAGAAATAAGAGTTAAATCTTCCCTAAGCTGCTCAGCCCCACACTGGTGTTGGATACATCCTCAGGCAGCAGCACAAACACGAGCTCCGTGCACACCCCGTGACAGGGATAAGCAATATTTCAGCCCTAATAGTTTGCATATTCATCAGGACTTTCAAGGCAGAATAGATCTCGGCCTTTCCTTCAGCTGCCACTGCACGGAGGTGACCGGGGGGCAGCACCAGAGGAGGGAATGCCACTGTACTTCCAGCAGCACCAGGGGCTGAAGGAAGGATAGAGCTGTACAGCAGAGAAAAGCTAATTATTCCTCTCGTGTGACAGCTCAGGCAATCACAGACTGCAGCCACCATTCCTCGGCCGGAGCTGTTGTTAAGGAAACAATAAACTGGGATCCCATCCTGGGTACTGGAACGATGAGCAGAGGTCAGGAGAGCAGGTAAAATGGACCTCTGGGGCCAAGCCCAAGGCTCAGCGGCCAACACAGCTCTGCCTCCTCAGCATTTTTGCCCTCACAGATGGACGTGGGCAGTGCTGAGATGGCCGAGGGTCCAGAACCCCCAGCAAACACCCACCTGCCTCAGCCAGACCCGGCCTGGGGCCAGGACAAACCCCATCCAGGTCCCACCATCCCATGGGCAGCAGCACACACCAGAGGAGATGGGGATCTGCCTTTTATATCCAGGCATTCCCTCAGCTGTGTGGTGTTACCCAGCCTGCCCCCTTCGCAGTTTTTAACTTGACACATGTGGTGAAAAACCCTTCCCTGGCAGAGCTTTCCCGTTTGGCCATTTCCAAAGGCACTGGGTGTGATGGCAATAACTGACTCCATGGTGTGATGTGCCCGGGGCAAAAACACACCTGGGGGAAAGAGAAACGTCTAAGAAATAAATTATTCCAAAATAGGTAGAAATGTCAGCCTTCATTTCCAACCCCAGCACAGCACATGGTGCCCTGGGAGCGTGGGCATGAGAGCTCCATTGTTCCCAGTATTCCCAGTGGTGCAGAGGTGCTGCTTGCCCAGGGCCAGTAACGGAGCATTCAGTGAAGGGGCCAATTAGCAGCTCTCACCTGGCACCGAGAGGCACTTGGGTAGTTCTGGAGTGCCGAGAGCTGCCAGGAGAAGGGCAGCGGGAAAGGTCTGGAACGCAGGGGAGCTGTGAGAGCCACGTCTCCTGGCTCGGGCAGCACGCCGGGAGTCAGGGTTACAGAACATGGACACCCCGTGTCACATACCGGGGTCAGTGTCACCGGCCCCGCAGGGTACGGTTACACCAGCCCAGCCCCGCAGGGGAACTGTGCCTGCAGCCCTGGGCAGATCATCCCACCCCTGCCCGGGCATTCCCAACCCTCCCCTTCCATCCCGAGCATCGCACCCGATGTCTAAAGGAAAAAAAAAAAAAAAGACTTGCTCAAGACCTGCTGCTTTTTCCACGGTGAAGCAGAAACAGCAATTATCTGGTTCAGTCTGGTGCTGCTGGCCTGGAACATGCCATGACAACGTGTTTCTCGTTTCAAAGCCTCTTTTGTACTAGGACACAGTTCAAGGGATCTTGCAATGCCTGCATTTGTAAACACGCCGCACTTGCAGCTACACGCTCTGCAGATGAAAGCCAAGGCGGAGCACCAGAGCCCTCTCCCCGTGTCACGGCCGGGCACCGGGAGCTCCCCCTGCTCCCCCGCCGCAGGAGGACGTGCTGAATCAGGGCCTCGGCAGCCCCGGGGCTGGGCAACCATGCGTGGTCCTCAAAAGTCATGGCACGTTCAGAAAAATGGAGTCCTGGAAAAGGGGAGGGGGGGGGGGAAAAAATCACAGCAAAAAAATGTGCGTCACTGCAGATTATTTTAGGCCTTGGTCCATGCATAATGCAAATAAGCAGCTCCCGGGGTACATGCCTGTAAAAACCATCCAGTCCCACAGCACTCGGTTATAGGAGCTTTCCAAACAGGTGGTGAAAAGCTAAAATTATGTGTCTGTGTGTCCTCAGCGGGGTTAGGAAAGGCCCTGGCTCCCGGGAAGGCTCTTCCCCTGCCTCCACAGGGCTGGTATGAAACGGGACCGAGACATTAAAAAATTCAGGAGCGTTTCTTTCCTTTTGAGGCAATCCTGGGCTCCCTCTCACCAAACCACGCTCAGCACCCCCACAGCACCCTTTGATCTGCCTGAACCCGCTGCCCCCTCGCGCCCGCCCTTCACACACCCCTGACTTCATATTTTTGCTTTTTCTAAAAAATCGTTGTATCCTCCTCGCCTGACTTCAAGGAGTCGCTCGGGAAGCCCTATTTATGGGTTGAAATGCTGCTGAAAGAGTTATTGCCGTGTTATTCAGCTGTTGTGCCAAGCCTGCATGGGGATCGGGTTTCTGCTGAAAGGGTGCCAGGCACGTCTTTTTCCAGGAACCAGCAGCCGTATTTAGCCTCCGGCTGCACATGAAAGACTGCAGTCGGAAACGTGACATTGTGTCAACATTTGAGGCAGGTCAGAGCTGGGTGAGACCATGAAAACAAGTCCGGGGAACTCTTGCACACCCCGCCGGGGCTGCCCGGCGCTGGCGCCGTGCCGGGGGTCGCCCCTCCATCGCCCTCCTCCCTGGATGCCCCCTTGGCTCCGGGATGCGGCTCCGGGATGCAGCGCCCGGCTCTGCCCGCGGCGGGTGCGCGGGGCAGGGGCTGCTCGGGGTCCCCGCCCGGTGCCACCGCAGGGGCAGCCCCTGCCCCACGGCGTGGCCGGTGCCTGCTCTGCCCCACGGAACTCACCTGTCCCGCTGGCACCCCGCCAGGGCAGCAGAGAAAATCCCGGGCCCGTGATTATCCTTTGCTTCCTGGATAAATGTTCTCTCTTCCACTCTTTTTTTTACAATTCTCCCCCCCCACCTGTAACTGAGGATCTGGAGTTGCTGGGAGTCCTCCCACCACGGGACAAAGTGGGTCAGGAGATGGAGACCGAAGGGGAGCGAGAGCTGTGGAAAGGAGCCAGAAATGCAGCGGGTCCTGAGGCTGGAGGTGCCCTGTGCTGAGCACCAAAGGCCGTCCCCAAAGGGGGTTACTACAGTTGCCTGCAGTGAGATCAATATTTAGGCCTAATTAAAACAAACACAACATGAACGCCAGGAAGTGTGAAGGCCCCAAACACATTAAGCAGCCCTGCACTTTTTTCTAGTATTACTTAAGCTAACATTTCTTTGAGCCAATTCTAACCACAGTCTAACAGCAGCCCCTGGCCGCCTGCCTCTCTCTGCAGGGTCCCAGAGATGCTGCAGCCCAGGACTGAGCAAAGCTGGACCAGTTGGGCCCTTAAACACTCCCCACGTTTTGTGCTTCATCTGTGAAAATCCAAAATCCCCCCCCGAAGTGCCTGTGCCCCATCCCCACAGAGGCAGCACCGCCAGGAAACCGAGTCCTCCCACCCATCCCTTCCCTTCTCCCATCTTGTGCCTTCAGGAGAGGTTTGGGATCAACAACATCTTGTGCAGAGGCCAGAGGTGGACCATACCCCCAGCTCTTGCAGCAGCAGTGAGTGAAGGCACGGGGCTGCTCCACCACCTGAGCACCGGCTGAGAGTCCCAAACCAGGGACACCCGGGACACGTGGAGGTAGCAGGGATTGCTCCCAGCCAAGGCAGGACCTGGCCCTTGCACCCCTCAGCCTCAAGGGGCTGGTGGGCACCGTCCTGGCAGTCCTGTGGCAGCTCTGACACAGGCTGAGGGCACTGGTCAAGCAAAACCAGTTTGCAACAAGCCCATTTTCCACCAGGCACCAGGCAAAGCCTGTGGAGACGCCGCATCCTCCCCGGCCAGGGGCTGCCTCCTCCCCATGGAGCTCAGGGCTCAGGAGCCAAATGCCAGACACAGGGAGCACAACGTGACATCAGGAGAGAGCAGGAAAGCCAGCCAGGCTCTCCTGGCATCTCCTGCGGGTTGGGAGCGAAAAAAATCCCTGGAGGTGCCAAGGGAGTTAAAATAAATAAATATCCCTGGTGACAGGGGTAATGGGACCCTGAGCTCCTTCGGGCACCCATGGAGGAGGAGCCGTGGGGGGAGTGAGGAGAGTCCTGCTCCTCCCTGCACCCCGAGATCCTGCTCCCCTCTGCACCCGAGATCCCCACTCCTGCCTGCACCCCAAGATCCTGCTCCCCTCTGCACCCCAAGATCCTGCTCCCCTCTGCACCATCCCATCGCCATCCACTGCTGAACCAGACCACGTGGAATGACCCTGCTCAAACATTTCAAAGCACAGGAGGCAAACCCTTATCTTCCACAGGAAAAGAATTATTTTATTAAGCATTTTTAAACAACTACTTAACATTTACTCAAGATAAAAATATGTACAATATCCCACCTTGAAGGCGACTCCAAAATATAAACACTGTACCTCTCCCGAGAGAAAAACGGAATATTCTTCTCTTCAAAAAAAAAAAAAAAGACAACCCAGAAACAAGAATACATTCATATTTCTCACTTCTTTATGCTCAAGTAGTTATACAAATAATAGACATCTGAAACGTTTTACCTTTTAATATATTTATATAATATATATATATTTATAACAGGATTTTACAAATAAAGGCAACAACTGTTTACCAAAAAAACCAAAAAACCAACAACAAAATAAACGTTAGAACACAATCTGCAATCAAGCATAGTGCATCTCAACAGCTGGTGCAATGGGAGGGCGACAGGAGGATCCAGACAACGGGGTTCTGGTCACCAGTTCTCAAAACCAGTCAGAAAAAAAACCACCAAAGAGCACTGCCTTTTGCAGGGAGGTTTGGGGGTTTTTTCCTTAAAAAAAAGGCTAAATGGGAGATGATGTTCCTCTGCAGAGAAAGCCCCTTGCAGTTTAACAGTGTCACCAGCCAACCCCTCTCTCTCTCTAACACAGGGATGTGAGCCAGGGTTTGCCAAGGAGACTGAGGAATTCGGATGCTCAAACCCCGCCGGGATCGGACTCCTCTGAAAATCCCAGCCTTTTCCTTTTCCAAAGGCACTGACAGGGGCACATTCAGCAGGGATTGTGCTGCCCACTCTGCCTGAACTGCTCCCTCTGGCACCGAGCTCCCCCCTGGCCCGGCCGGGAGCAGCTGGGCCGGGAAAACCTCATGATTCCCGACAGACCCGGTGAGACTGTACAGCAGCAGCGGGAGAGGCCGGAGTCAGGTGCAACAAGCCAAGTGATCCATGGGATATTTCCTCCCCAACCCGGCCCAAAGTAGCAGCTCAAGTTACAGGAAGGGGCGCAGGTTAATTGATTTATTAGATGTACGCCATGGAAAGCTCCAAGCAGCAGCTACCTTTTATTTCTGAAAAACAGATAAATGCATCAGCGAAGGTGTGGAGAGAAACCCGTCTTAGGTCTACCTGACCCTGCATGACCAAGCAGTGACCACTGCCCTGCTCCTCCTGGTGGCATTGCCACCACCACAGTGACCACTGCCCTGCTCCTCCTACACTCCTGGTGGCACTGCCACCACCACCACACCACGCCTGGGGTCACTCAGACACTGGTGACCAGTGGAGCACCCACCAGTCCAGCTGGAGCTGGACAGGGAGCCGTTGCCTTGGGAGCCGTTCAGGGAAGTACCGTGTTTCACGTCCAGGTGTTCTGGATGTGCAGACCCTCAAACCAAGTCTGCCCAATGGAATATTTTTTCACAGCTTTGCAGTACAGTCGCAGCTGACCGAGTCAACTGTTGCTCTGTAGATGTGGAGAGGGAAGAAGGGAAGGGGTAAAGCACAACCCCCTTCTTTTTACTTTTTAATCTTTTGGAAGAAGTTGTGAATCGCGGAGCTGGGCACATCCTTCATCCTTCTCCAAGCTACCTGACAAGTCAGAGAAAAGGGGATTTAGCTTCCTATGTGCAGTGAACCTTATCCCCACACCTCAGTCCAGCCAATATAGAAAAGGGAAACAGTCTCAAACTAAAAAAAAAAAACAAAAAAAAAAACCAGTCACACTGTGCTTAGTCTTTGGTTTCCAAGTTCAAAGGAGGAATCTGCTTCAAAGCTTGCAGCAGAGCCGAGGAGTCGATGGGGGAATGGGCCGGGACAGGAGAAGGGAGTCTCTGGGGCATCAGCAGAGGGGGGGAGATTTTGTCGGGGCTCATGAAGCCCGTGAGTGCCGCGGCAGAGGCCGGGAGGCTGGGGTACAGCACGGGCACCGAGGCCGGGTACCAGCACTTCTCCAGCATGGGCAGGTAGGCGGTGGCGGACGGCGGGATCAGGTAGAAAGGCAGGCACAGGGGAGGCTGGTGAGCGTGGGGGCCCAGGAAGCTGCTGGAAGAGCCCATCATGTCGCTGCCAAAAGGGCCCTCGTCCTCCGGCGACTCCAGCCTGCTCCTTTTGGCCGGCGGGTCCTCAGTCTCTTGCTTAATAGAGCTTATTCTCTCCTGCATGGCGTACTTGAGGTCGGTATCCTTTTTGAAATAGGGCTGCTCGGGTTTGGAGTCACTTTTCTCCAGCTCCCCCCCGTACCCGCTGTCCGTGTCCGTGTCGCTGCCGCTCTGCTCCCCGCTGGAGTGAGCGAATGTCCGCTGGATCACGGGCACGCAGTTCTTCCCGTGGCCCTCGCCCGCCGCGCTCAAGGGCACGGCCTTCTCCTTCAGGTCCACCATTTTGGGGGGGATGTCCCCGGGCTTGCGGGCGGCCCCGCCCTGCAGCACCTCGCTGGCCATGCGGTGCAGGTGGCTGACCAGCTGCGACGACTTCAGCTCCTTGCCGTTCTCGTGCTTCGCCAGGTATTGCAGCATCTCCTTGGCACACATCTGGAAACCCGATCGAAACATTTCCTGGCTGGAATCGAGGTTTCTCGATGACAGGTCACCTAAGGGAACATTAACAGAAAGAAATTAAAAATTAACAACATGCTAAATAGTTCCACTTCCACCTCGGAGGAGGACCGGAGATGATATTGAACCCGGGGTACAGCACAGCCCGAGGGGACTGCGATGGTCAACCCGGACTCTGTGAACAGAAATCCTGGGATTTCTGCAAAAATGGACATTTTCACTGGAACATCCACCTGTCCACTTTTACATAACAACTTTAAGCTCATTTTTCATTCTGTATTTACTGTAAAATCCACCTTCAACAGGTGCTGGAGTACAGAGCACGGGAGTGAGTCAAGCTGTGCCTTCCCCAGGAACCACCCCTGGGAGCGCAGGGTGCACCTCGCCCTGCACCTCCGGGCAGGGAGCTCCGGGAGCTGCTCCAGGAGCTGCTCCACCAGCAGCTCCACCAGCCCCAGGCAGCTCCACCACACTCCCTGTGGCTGCCGGGGCAGGGACGGCTCCCCCAAAAACTCAGTTTTACTTTATCAGATTCACGTGAGTGCCACATGTGAAAACAGGAGGAGGAAGTACATCTAAAGCTGATAAGCTGAAACACCGAGTCCCTTCTGTGTGCAGAGCACAGGCCAGCTCAGTTATCTAGAAACTTAAAAAAGGTGTGTACAAAAAGCAGATTTGTTTTCAGGGAAAAACACCCAAACAAACCCAACTGGGTTATGTAAAGCTCATGAACACAAACGGGAAGATTCGGAGAGCTTTGGAGAGAACCTCACAGCAAACCTGGGCTTTAACTACAACTACTTAAAACCCAATTTGATTGCAAAAAACCCCACAGGGCACTGACCACCGTGAGAAATGCATCTTTTTTTGCAAGAGCTGGTAAGCAAAGCCAGAGAAAATGACAGCGATGAAAGGCCAGAGCTCCTGCCTCCTCCCTTCCCAGGAACGAGGTGTCACAACCGCGTTTTGCAGCCTCCCCAGAGAGAGTCCCTCAGGCACAGGGGCTCACACAGGAACACTCACCTGCCTGCAAACCGTTCTGCAGAGCAATGATCTTCTGCTGCTGCTGCTCCATGAGGTTGGTCAGTGCCTTCACGTGCTTCAAGGTGAGCTCCAGCACCACAGCCTTCTCCAGGTGACCTAAGGTCTGGGAGCACAGGGACAGGTTGGTGCCTGCTGCGGGGTTGGACGTGCAGGCAGCAGCCCCTGGGGCTGCCAGAGCCCTCCCAGGAGCCGAGGGAGGACGGGCACGGTGTGACCCTGAGCAGTGCAGGACTATAACCCACAACATTCCAGGAAATAAGTTAAAAAGCGGGCTCTGGGAAAGGCTCTCACTGAACCCTGTGGGTATTTTCGGACCAGCCGCATAGCTCAGGAGAAGGCTTTCATTTATCCGTTCTGCTGCCCCTGCTGGCACCGTGACCTGAGCCCGGGGGAGCCCTGGGGAGCCCGGCCGGGGGCTCCTCTCGCCCGGCAGCGACAGGGGGTGTCCGGCGGGCAGCTCCCGCAGGGACCCACACTCATAGAGCCACCCGAGGACATCCCTCCCGGGAAACTTTGGGATGCGCTTACAGCCCGTGCGGGTGTGCAGCACCACGGAGCGAAAACACAAACCCACCCCAAATCCGCGGCGAAACGGCAGCAGAGCCCCGTCCATCCCCCGGCCCCGGCGCTCCGCCCGCCGCTCGCACCTACCGTGAGCTTGAGGTGCTCGGGCAGCAGGTCCTTCAGCTGCGCGATGCACTCGTTGATCCTGTCGCGCCTCTTCTTCTCGATCAGCCTGTGCGGCAGCTTGTAGGTCTCCTGCGGGGCCGGGGGCAGCGGGTCAGCGTGGGGAGAGCCCCGCACGGCCCCGCTCCCGCTGCTCCTCCCGCCCCGCGTGTCCCGGGGAGCGGCCGATTCCCATTCCCGCTGCTCCTCCCGCCCCATGTGTCCCGGGGAGCGGCCGAGCCCCCGCCCCGGGAGCGCTGTCACTGCCGCTGCCGGGGCGCGCACTCCCCGATTTACCCCGTTAACCCCCAATTTTACTTTACCACCCCCCCATTTACCCCCGCCCCCCCCCCCCCCCACAACTCACCTTGTTGTCCTCGCTCCTCTTCAGCCCCCTCCGGGGCTTGTACACCTGGTACATGTGCGCGAAGTCCAGCCTGCACGGGCGAAAGCAGAGCAGCGCGTTACCCCCGGCCCGGAGCCGCTCCCCCGGACCCCCCGGACCCCCCAGACCCTCCGCTCACCCCGGCAGGTCCGCGCCGTCCAGGGCGGGCAGTTTGCCCAGGCAGGCGGGCGGGGGCTGCGCGCTGGGGATGCGCTCCATGGCGGGGGCGCGGGCGGTGCGGGGCGCGCTCAGGGGCTGCGGACGATGCCGGCGCCGCTGCTCCTGCTCCTGCTCCTGCTCCTGCTCCTGCTCATGCCGCGCCCGCGCCGCGCGGGCTGAGGAGCGGCGGGGCGGCCGCGGGCCGGGTTAAATGCGGGCGAGTGGGTGGACGGGAGCGACGTGCGGAGCCCTGTGACCGCCGGCACGTCTGGCGGCCCCGGCGCCCCCGCCCCGCCGTCACATGAGCCTCACGTGGCGGCGGCGCGGGGGGAGGCGGGGCCGCCCGGACCGGCCCCCCCCCCCGCCCGCACGTGTGTCCCGGCGCGGCGGCACCGCCGAGCCGTGTCCCGGTGTCCCCGCCGATCCCGCTGTCCCCGCGGCACCGCTGTCCCCGCTGTTCACGGTGTCCCCGCCGCTCCCGCTGTCCCGGCGGCACCGCTCCCGGTGTCCCCACCGTGCGCGCTGAGATCGGGATAAAATAAATCACACACACCCCCCTTCCCCAAAGCGACAGAGGCGCAAACGCGGACCCGGAGAAACCGGCGGCTGCGGAAGTTTGGAAGTGTGGGGAAAAAACAAATAACTGAGAGTCGCTAAAATGTGGCTCTGGGGAAATGTTGGTGCTGCGGGGAAGTTTAGGGCTGGTGGGATCCCATCACTGGAAGTGTTCAGGGCCAGGTTGGACAGAGCTTGGAGCAACGTGCTCTAGTGGAAGGTGTCCCTGCCCGTGGCACAGGGGTGGAATGAGATGGGGTTTAAGGTCCTTTCCAGCCCAAACCATTCTGGGATTCTATGAGGAATTTTCAGGAGGAAATGCTTCCCTGTGAGGGTGGGGAGGCCCTGGCACAGGGTACCCAGAGAAGCTGTGGCTGCCCCTGGATCCCTGGAAGTGTCCAAGGCCAGGTTGGACGGGGCTTGGAGCAACCTGGGCTAGTGGAAGGTGTCCCTGCCCATGGCAGGGGGTGGCACTGGATGGGCTTTAAGGTTCCTTCCAACCCAACCCATTCCATGATTTCCCATGCTTGCACCAAGGATCTGCAGCCCGTGGACACTGTTGCAAAACCCTGAGTGATGATAATGGTGTGTGAGTACCTGCCAAGGCAAAGCTCTCCTGAAGGGCCGTGGTCACTTCCCTGCTGAATGCTGAGCAAGTAGAGGCAGGCTCATCTGATAAAGGGTGCATTTACCCAGATAAGGAAATAGCAGAACTCCAGCCCAGAGCCACTGCTATCGCCTGGAGAGTCCTGGCCTGCTCCACCTCGGGAGGAATCCGAGGGCAGCAGGTACTATGTGAGAGCACAAAGATTTTATGCAGGCATTGACAGCACAGCACTGTATCAGTGACACAGAGCTCCCTGAGAGCAGATGCTTGGGTTGTCCCACTCAGTGTGGTCTTCTCGGTGTTTGGCAGCTGAGCCTGCAAAACCTGGTGATTATGGCCAGGATTATGGAATCACAGACTGTTTGTGTTGGAAGGGACCTTAAAGACCATCTAGTTCCAACCCCCTGCTATGGGCAGGACCTGCTCACCGATCTTGAGAGTGGCTGTGGTGCTGCAGCCCCACCACAGAGAGAAGGGGACGTGGGGACTGAAAATGGAGCACTGAGTACCAGAGGATCACAGCTCCGGGCTGTGGGCCTCTCACAGCAGAGCTTGTCTTTCCTTCAGGCACTGAAAAATTCAGCAATAAACATCAGAAACATGGGAGTGCTGTGTTTGTCCCTGCTGCAGCTCAGGGGACCATAACCAGCCTCAGTAACGAGCCCTGGATCAGACAGTTCGTTCTCTCTCTGCCCTGAAGACCTAAGCTGTTATTTTCCAAACAAAGGGTGAAAAAAACACGAACAATTTTTCATCTGTCCCATCACTGACCCTCTGTCCAAGGCAACAGAAATAATTAGAGCTTGCTGAAGCTGATTGCTAATGAAAAATGAGGTTTGGGGCCAACCTGCACTTCACTTGAAGTTCGGGCTCCGAGAGTACGTGGACAGCTTCATGCCCGTGGATCGTCTGACTCCTGCATGCTCTTTGAGATATTCGGTACATTCCTGCAGTGGGTGGTGAGCCACAAATCAGGGTCAGAGGTAATCCCCAATTATTTAGCCCTTTTACTGTTCTCGTGCTTGCCAAACAATTCTCCATATCAGGATTTGCTCATGACCTTAAGGGAGGTTGCCAAGGATTTAGGAGTCCCCCTAAAAGGAGGATCCAAATGAAGTTATTACATTCTCGCGCATCAAGTTAGATTGCTCGAGAGTTGAGTTACATTTTCCTGGGGATCAGTTTTCAGAAGCGAGGGCTGATGCAATCATCAATTTGCCTTCTCGCTCGTGTTTGCTGAATTATTTCTGTGTGGAGGGTTCCTTTACAGCGTATGATTCAGGCAGCGGCAAAATGTTTAGAAAGGCTGAATTTCCTGAAGGCATTGGTGCAGCAGGTCTCCCGAGCACTGCTCCAGAAGGGCTGGGAGTCACAGGGCCGCGGCAGCGCGTGGCCAAGGGGATTTGCAGTTATTTACAGAGGCAGGAGAACACCAGGGGTTGGGGGCTGCTTTGAGGGTGGGCTGGAGATCCCAGCCCCAGGATCTGCCCCTTCCCTGGGACTGTCCCCTCCTGACCACAGCGATTTGGGGGAAGCGTTCCGAAAATCCCCGGCACCGCCGTCTGATCGCAGCCTATGTGGGCAGCGCCAGGAGTTAACAGATGGGTTGTGGATTCGAGCTTACGATAAGGTTACTGAGGGTGGTTTTGTTTTAAAATGTCTCTTACTTAATATATCCATGAAGGCCAGGCATGTGCCTGTGGCCTGTAATCAAATCGCTGACTCTCCCTCTCTCTCATTTCCAGCAATCCCGTTTCGGGTTACTGGCACCGGAGGTGAAAGAACAGCCACGGCCCGGCCGGGCTGGACGCTGTGCCGGGCAGGATGCGCTCAGCCCTCCATCCCAACACCCACTGCTCTCTGCAGGAGGAAAACTTTCTGTGGGAGTCTTTAAAGGAGCAGGGGAGCAGGGTGCTCTCCTGAGCTCAGTAAACGTGACGGCTCTTCTTCCGGGCCCGGCAGCTCTCCAGCTGCAGCACCCAGCTCCGGGATGGGTGGGAGGCAGTGGGTGCTGTCAGCCAGGGGAGACAGTGCCTCTGTCAAACATCCCCCACCATGGGGTCCTGCAGTGTGTGGGTTGGTGTGGGGTGTATCCAGCCAGGAGCTCCCAGGAGACCTGCTCATCCCATTTCACGTAGTGTCCAAGGCAGGCTCAGGGGGTCCCGCCCCCCTCAGCCGAAGGCTGGGTCCCGAGGGACATGTGGGACCTCACTGTGCAGAGTCTGAGGAGCAGTTTGACGCCCAGCAGGGCTCTGGTAGCTGCAGAAGTCTGAGTTCAGTGTGAAGCCTGGTGGTTTCAGCTGTGCCTGTGACTCACTGTCGATAGCACAGCTGACCGCGCTCGCTGCAGGATCACCCGCCAGTCGGGAGGAGAGATTTAATATTGCAAATATGTGCACCCATCGCTGCTTAATTACATTGGTTTAGGCTGCCACGGGCTCTGCTTGGATAAAGCACTGGGAAAACCCAGCGAGAGCTGTTGTCTCTGTGCCCTCCCTCCGGCACGACCCTGGAGCACTGCCGGGCACGTGAGAGCTGCGGGAATGACGCTGGCATCGCTCAGCGAAACTCGCCTGAGGACTATTCAAATGAAAGCCATTCCCCTCTTTGAGAAGGGATGTTTGCCAGCACCCAGTGCAGCAGTGGGAGGAATATGTAGGTGGAAACTATTTGGAAGTGGCAAAATTTGTGGACATTAATAAGAGACTTTAGCCCACTTTGATACTGTGTTTAATAAAACATGCCGGCTTCCTGGTGACATCCTGCCCTGCCAAGCCCGGGCAGCCGGGAGCTCACGCTGTTTAACCAGTTCCCTGCTGGCTGGTTGCACCATCTCGTGAGAAAGAACCCCGGGCGAGCACACCCGGCACACCCTGGGGCTGCCCCGGCACCGAGCACGGCCCGGCCTCCGCCTGCACACGGCCTGGACAGGGAATAGGGAATGGGGGGGTTGGAAGGGGCCTTAAAGATTATCCAGCTCCAACCCCTGCCATGGGCAGGGACACCTTCCACTAGCCCAGGTTGCTCCAAGCCCCGTCCAACCTGGCTTTGGACACTTCCAGGGATGGGGAGTCCACAACCTAAGAGCCATTTCAGAGGTGACATCCGGGTGCTGCGCTGGCTGGGTGGTCCCTGCAGAGCTCAGGAGGAGCAGGGGATGGTGAGGGGTGATCCACTGGTTGAGGGGCTGGGAGGAGCAGGAGTCTCTTCTCCCGGTGACGCGTTGTCTGGTGGCTGCTCTGCACAGAGGGATCTGATCACATCTCTCCTCCTGCCTCACATCAAACAGTGAGTCAGCGCTGGAGCCCCATCAGATGTCTCTGCTTCGCCTTTCATATCTGGAAAGCAGAGAGGATGGTGCTCTGAGTATGCAAAGCAAGGAAAGCAGGGTGCCTTCAGATCTGCCCCGTGGAAAATACCACGGTATTTATTCTGCACTGGCACCCACGTACCCCGGCAGGAATCAGCACCACCGGGGCTCCGAGTCTGGGGAGATGTTGATCTTTCTGGGGGATGCAGGTAACAACAGCCACGGGGCCAGACTGCATCACCTCTGAGTCAAATATTAACATAGAAAATACTCTGAACTTGCTAACTGGGTTAAAAAAATTAACACACACCCCTAAAAATAATAACAATAAAATAAAGCCGGAACAGACAGAAGAAGAGCCTGAGAGTGTGTTCTTCCTGCAGTTCATGTCAGGACATGGACGAGTCCTCTCACCTTGACCTCTGAACCCCAAGGCTTTGGGACAAGGTCTGTGTGACCTGTGTGCTCACAGGGTGTGAGGTGCCCAAGGACTGGGCTGGGGGGCTTTGGTTCCAGCTGTAAATGCCATCGGCACAGTGGCAGAGCTCGGGCTGCTCACCAGGGCACAGGCAGAGGTGGAGAATGGGGCAGGTCTGTGTGGGGAGCT